TTCTTATTTCATAAAGCTGCTTATCTACATCAGCGAAAGTCTTCATGCCCTCTCATCTTATGCATGTAAGAACTGAAGCCTGTCAAAGCAATGAGCTGACAAAAGGGCAGGACCCTGAGTCAGTAACATTTTTTTTATATATAGAGATTAAAACCATGCAGTTATAAACATCCTACAGGTTGCAAGAGACAATCAATCTCCTTTTTGGAAAGAGCAACGTTTGGATGAAAACTGCTACCCTAAACATCAGGTTTTTCACATAAAAATGTCTCCAATGTTTTCCCATTTTCTGTTCTTCCTAGAATACGGAAAAACTTTAAAAGTTCCTTTTGAGTTTTAGGACTTGAATGTTTTAGCACTGAGCCTCCTATAGGAGACTCTCACAAAAGCATTCCCTTTAACAGGGGCAGGCAAAGACTCAGAGACAACAGAATAAAGAGCTGGGAGCAGAGTATTTTCAATAATAAAAAGGTTAAAGTTAGGGGGCAAGTGTGCAAAATCCAATGTATTGTTTTAAACTGTAGGCTGCCAAATCTGATTAAAAAAACATTGCATCCCATTTGTGGAAATGCATGTGTTTGTCATGGAGAGGGAAAAGCCCCAAACAAACCAACCTGCAGCTCAACAGCAGCTGAAGTGAAGGCGTGGGGAGTTCTCTGCGGATCAAATTGATCTCTGAGGATCAAATGCTGCACATGGGTGGAGGCTCAGAAGCAGTGCTGAGCATCCAGGTGGAGTGAAAAATTCTGGAATCAACAGCTTGGCAGGGATGTTCCCAAAGTGGGACACACACACAAACAAGAACTCGAAAGAAAATTTCTGAGGACAATGAGAGTGATGGTGGGATGCCTCCAGGTTTAGCCCCAGGCTGACTGAAGGCAAATGCATGCTTCTCCCTCCAGACTGCAATGCTGCCTCAGAACTGCCATCATGATCCCTCTACTGCTGAAATTAAATTCATTTGAACTTCAAAAGCTGGTGTGACTCCTGTCCCAGTTTGATTTCTGTTACAGAACAGAATCGTGGGGTTGATAAAAAGCATCAGTTAGTGATAGGTAATTATTTAAGCACCTCTTTTTCAACTTTCTGCCTGAATATGGATTTTGTTTTTTCTGTTGTAGGCAGAGCACGTTCTGATGTACAATGAATTCTGCATAATGCACACAGCTTCCTCCTCAGCCAGAGTAAGTATTTTTTGCTGAGTAGCACCAATTTCAGTCTTCGATCCTGGTTTACACTAATTATTATACCGACATCAATGATTCAGCCAACACCTCTGTTGTAAATACTCTCTAAAATTAAAGCACATTGTTAAGATAGTGGTTCAGTAACAACAGAGTTTTCAGTTCTGTGAGAAGACTGCTGTCTTAAAAAAAAAGCATTCAAAAGCCTTTACCCAAACACTTTGCACATGTAGTAAAAAGGCATCAACATTTTTGTCGTATTTGACATTTCAAGGATATTCCCAAGATTTGTAATAACAGTAAACCAGGTGGAACAAATCTCTGAAGAGTATAAAACAGAATATCCAATCTTTTCTAATTACTTTCCAAATCTTTATGTCTGCTTCACATCTGCCTCTTCCCTGCAAGCTGAATTTCCCCCCAAGTAAACCTTGGAACAGTTGTTGCATCCTCTGACTGCTAAGGACTGTGACATCTGGATCCCAAGGCAGCCAGATGGCAGCTCCTCACTGAGGACACACAATTTCCCTTCTCCCCTGACCTGCTGCAGTCCCTGGTGCCAGCACCAGGGAGAAGGGATGTTCTGCTCCTCCATCTCTTTCTGTTCTCATTTCTGCCCTTATGCCTGAGGAAAGCCAACACTGCTGCTCTGCTCCACACACAGGTCTACCGCTCAGAATGCTGGATAAATTCTAATGCACAGCAGTGGAAATTCAGAAGTAGAAAACCCAGGAAATAAGACCAGATTTTTGGTACTTAAAACCTTTCATGCCTCGCATCCACATGAGAAGTAAGTATTTTTCAAGAGAAAATAATTATAGTTATTAAAGGACATTTTCTTTTAGAGAAACAAGACTGCCCATGACTGCAAGGCTGCAGAATGAAGACTAGAAAAGATTGTGAAGTCAACAAGCACATACACCTATTTGTACACACACACTAATTCCAGTAAAGTTATCAATATGGCTTGAAAATATTTTCCATCATCTCTTCCATTTCAAGTTGGTCTCAAAATACTTTCTTTTAAACTTAATCTTCCATAGACACAGCCCCAAACCAAAATATTTCCTCTCAGAATGCCTGATATTTATTCAGCTGGTTTAAAGAAATCTGAGACTTTTAGAATGCGTTTTCCATTTTCATATACTAAGGGTATAATTTTATGCCACTGTTGCTATTAGAAAAGTTACTGATTAAAACTTCAGTTTGTGTAACCTCCATGCAGAATATTCTGGTGTTAAACTGAGAAAAAGAAACAGAAGATAAAGAAAGTACTACCATGCTTAACATGTGCCCTGACTAAGAAGCAGCAACAAGCAGGAGAAGAAGTCAGAGCTGTGAAGAACTGCCCCCAAGAAATATCACCAAGAAGGTACGGGACTTTAGAAATACGTTTGCGACAGTATGGGACTTTAGAAATATGAAATATAACAACAAGATAACAACGGGTGAGGAGGGTGGTTGTTGCCCTCCATCTTCAGGAAAGAAGAAGAAGACCTCTGTTCTTGAAACCCCTCGGCCCCAGGGGGTGAATTTGGGGGGGACAGGTGTCCCAAAAGTGAGAGACTGTGATTTTTTGGACAAAGCACCCTTAAAAGGGGATCCCTAGAAGCAGCTCTGGTCCATGTGCAGTGGTGAGAGCACTGGACATGGAAGGAAGATGTCACAATGGCAAATGTTCTCCAGGCCGTGCCATGTGTGACAGGAAACACAAGAGGTCTCAACTCTGTTTCCAGGGGAAGCCTATGGCACAAGAGGGACTCCTCTCCTCTTGATGAACTGAGAATTGATTATCTAAGGGGTACTGATGGACCAAGAGTTGGTGATCTGAGGGGTGGATGTATTGGAAATTTGGTGGGGGGAGGAGGAATGTTTTTGGAAGGTTTTCATTCTGAGTTCTGTGTGTGTTTCTTTTTATATATAGTTGTCGGTTAATAAAGTTTTCTCTTCTTCATTCCTAAGTTGGAGCTGTTTTGCTCTATTCCTGGTCACAGCTCACAGCAGACACCAGGGAGCATTTATTTTCTAGGGGGCACTGGCATTGTGCCAGCATCAAACCATGACACAGACCTATGAATAGAAAAAATAATTTATGATTCCTCAACAGAAGCAGAAGATCTTCAGCTTTTTCAATGTGAGGGCCATTATTTTTCTGTTAGGCCAGGTTGAACTACTTTACCTGATAGACTCAAGTAAGTGCAAAAATCACCAAGACTTCCCTCAATCCTCTCCTGCTCCCATTAAAGTAGAAAATCAGTAGGTTTGTAATGGAAGATAAGGGTCTGACTTTGAGAAACCGTTTTTATGATGCATCAACCTGGCCAAATTCAGATATAGTGGCTACCGAGTGCAAAAATCAAAATTAAAAAATCTAGGAAAACACATTTGTGGGTGTAATTTCTATGCACCTTGCACTGCAATAACTGCATTAACTTTAAATGAATTACAATTAAAACCAGCAGCTATGTTGGAAATTTTGGCCACATCAAAATAATTTAAACACTTCAGCAAAGAACACAGTGGTCTTTTATACCACAGCAGGGAATCATAGCCTACGTGGCTTCTCCTGCATTAGGAATGAATGAATGAATGAATGAATGAATGAATGAATGAATGAATGAATGAAGGAATGAATGAATGAATGAATGAAGGAGTTAAACAATTATATTTTCGAAGGCCCTAATATTTTACCTTGGTGGATACTAAAGTTGGGAAAGTAGAAGGAAAAAAGTCAAGAATAAAAGAAAACTAAAATTAAATGCTAGAAACAAGTGGAATTCTGTACTGAAGGTCTATCCAAGCAAAACACCCTGACATTTCCAAACCTGGTGCAGGTTGTGACTCATTAGCTGTACTCAAGAGTCAGAAGGTAACAGGAAAAGAAGTTTTTGATATGCCAAGTTTCACCTTTGTGTATGTAACAGAACACATACTGCAGATGCTGGAACTTGTTTTCAAGCACTGTTAAAACTGAAAGCAAGATCCAAACGGAAAGTAGCAGAACCAATTTTAGGAAGACATATTACTAAATTTTCTTGAAAAACATGACATTGGAACATTACTAAGAAAGAGGGCTGCCTCCTAGATAAGCTACTAAGTGGTTTTAGGATACAAATATATATATATATATAATTAGAGGATAATTTATACTAATTCAGGGCAAAGTGGATTTCTGTGGTCATGAAGCTGTGAGAAACTGGAGGGCAGCCAGGTTCCTGGAAAAGATTGATGCACATTCCAGGATCTGATAAAGAGTACTGAAAGAAAGTTATGACTACAAATACATCTCAGTGATACTGCATGAATGCAAGGTCATTATTCTGAAAAGGATACAAAGATGAAAAAACAACTCAGAATATCAATGTGGATTGATGTGACATACACTTGGACAAGGCACAAGGACAAACCTCAAGAGCTCGATCAGTCATGTTCAAATATTTCAGTAATCATCTCTTGTTTGACTTCACTAAAGCCTTTGACTCATGGTTGGCTATGGCTGAAAATGCTTGAAAGGGGTTTTCTATCACTCTTAGACAAGCTATGGTGTAGAACTTAATCAAAGTTGCTGTGCTAGAAGTGAGAACAACCCAAGAGTGGCTCTCCAACAGGAAAAGCTGACCCCCAGAGAGCCAGGGGATATCCCAGACCCGTCCATATTCCCTTCATTATAAGTAGCACTTCCAAGGTGGTTTTTAATTCATTGCATTCATCCTTATCATGATTTTATGTATTTAGAACAAGCACGGTCCCAGCTGTACTATAGACAAAATTCCTGTTAATGTTTATGAACAACCTTGTGTTAGAGTACTAATTTGGCTGAGTTTTAGTGATCCTTAGCATGGCTTTCCATTTACTTACACTGGACAAATAAGTGCTAACCTCATTTCCATCAGGACCTGGCACAGCTCCAGTGAAGCCGAATTAAACACCCTGTTTTACACGCCAGTGTAACAATGGAGGCATAAGAAGACATCAAATACAGCAAGAGTCCCAAGAGAAGCTGCAAGGTAATTAATAACATGCTGTCACAATCACAAGTCTCAAGGTGAGAAGAAAAAGCAGTAAGTTAATTGCTTCTTAATGATCTATTAATACAGTCCTTTATTTGTTAGGTATACACCCAGAAATGTATTTAAGCAATTATCTAGACTCAAGTTGCTCAACAGCCTCATTAAATTCTGTGGGCCTCCTCTCTTACAGTCATTGAAACCTTCTCTTCATTTGGGGCTGGGGACAAGCAGAGGTGAAGGAGTCAGCAGAGAGGTGGTTGTGAAACAGCAACACTTGCAGAAGGATGCTTTTATGATGTGTTGAATGCAAAACACTCAGCAATGTAAGTCAGGGATGCAGAGCGAAGCTCTGGTGGACCCCAAGTACACTCTAGGAAGCACAGCTGTATCAAAGTTATAACAAAATATCTGAGACAGGGAGGATTCAGCAAAGACATCTTGGCACTACAAAAAATTGTGTAATATAAGCATGCATGACTTCCTTTCTCCCTCAACCATGACTTGATGCAATCTGCCAGCTACTGCAGATGAAAGTCTCATTCCTTAAGTATCCTGCAGCAACAATCTGAGAAGCTGATCTGATAAGAAAGCAGACAATAAAAAGAGCATCTTCAACACCTAAAATTAAAATGAGCAAGGGTGACAATGCAAGTGAGAGACAAAAGAGCAAACATTAAGAGAATGAAAAAAATTTAGGAGTAAAAAGCCACAAAACTGAACAAAGAGAGAAGGATGATTTAATTACATTTTTAGAAAGAATGAGGGGATAAATGTGTGATAGTAACCCACTGCATGAATTGTTGGTATTTTTACCTATTCTTCTAAACTAAAATCACCCTCCTCTCTCTTACTGGAACACCCTTACTTCTGAGAATGCAGAAATTTCACATAATATTTTGCAGGAAATGCTTAATTTGGTCCTGCAGTTCAGTGCAGCAGCCTGGTCAGCTGGGTGCCTTTCTGCCCTGGAAATGAAGAGGTTGAGCCTCTCCCAAAATGGTTCTGTCCTGCAGAGATGGGAATGGAAAGCACCACCAAACACTCTGGATTCTATGGTTTTTTGAAACTCAAATGGCACAAGGTTTAGGGATACAGTAAACTGAAGAGATTTTTTTTTTTCAGTTACACTGAGTGAGAGTTTAAGAAATGATCCAAGGACAGGAGAAAAAACCCATGCCTCACATTTTCTGGTGAAAAATATTCAGGTCATGGATGCAGTTTGACCCTTGCAGAAAAGGCTTAACATAGTTCCGCAATTCAGAACAACTTTTTCAGTACAAAACTACAGATTTCTAATTTCCACTTAACTGTGTAAAAATACTATGAGTTCTGTCAAGATATTCTAAGTTCCTACAGTTCAACAGAAATTCAGTGTGTATTTTAACAGGTCAGTTGAGTGAGTAAGGCTGCAAGATGCCAAGAAATCACAGTTAGAAAATAAGCAAGATCACAATGTATCTGCTTTAAAAAAACATCATAGTGAATTCCCTCCTTGTTGGACTGGTATTTCAAGCCCTGAGGCCCATAAGTGAATTGCTTTTGTAATAAATCTTAAATAAGCTGGGTTACAGAAGGAACTCAAACTCCTCTGACAGTACAAGCTGTAAAATGAGAATAGAACTTGACCATCAGAAAAGCAGGACTCTATCAGATGAAGGTCATCCTGCCTCCAAGAGTGGCAATAAGCACTTCTAAGGTAAAACTATTCTAACTGTCAAGTATTTTTGGCCTAGGAATGTCATGACTTGGATGGTATTTCTATAAATTTAGCATCCCTTCACAGCCATCTCTTGCATTAACTAATTTATTTAATTTATCCCAACTGCAGCATGCACAGCTGCTTTGATGGGGGTCCAATGAAATACAAATAAACCTGGGCTGCTTATCACAGAAGTCAAGCATTTTTTAAATTATAAGACAGTTGCTAATCATGTATTTGATCAAGCTGCATATCTGCATCCCTTTGTGTCTTTGGAAGCTTTGAATTAAAGAGGAATTTAGACCAAAGTAAGTACGCAAGTAATTCAGTGTTTTATCATTTACTGGGAAAAGACTGAACCCCCTCCATGCAAAGTAACAAAACACACTGAATTTTTGGTGTTTGCTTTGTAACACAAATGAGACAAGAGCCTACTAGCCAGTTCCTCAAGTGCTGGTCAGAAGACTGCTTTTTGGGCTGCTTAAAGCAAAGCTCTCAAAGTGTGTGTCAGCCACTGTCTGTAAGAGAATCACAGAGCCTGAGCTGATGATGTGGAAAAAGGCTTCCTGTACAGAAAACTTCCTGGAATTCCTATTGTCAGAGTTATGCCTATGCACTAGGTGTTTTTTTTTACCAATACACATCAGTCAATGACACTGTTCCTAGCCAAGTTTAAAATATCTGGTTTGATTACAGTAAATTCTCCAATTCTGCAGGGTAACACGTCCCATAACTGAAAACAGAGATTAAAAAATAATCAATAAAGATTGGCACTGTATTTCCATTTAAAATGCTTTCATATATAATTCCCCAATAAATAACTGATGAATTCAGAACTAGCTGATGGGAAAATAAGTTTGACATGCCTGCTAGTGGCCTTGCAAATACACATGAGCTATTTCTGCTTATTCATGTATACCATTCAAATGGCTACAAATCACTTCACTGCTTACTCAGAAAAAACGAGCCCTGCTCACCCACAGCACTTACCAAGCACTTACCAAGCCAAATGCATTTCATTATACAAGAGTGTAATTTTAACAATTATTTTTAATGGGGAGCAAGAAAAATAAATCTCAAAGCGGGCTGTGTACCCACAGAAATAACTTATCCCCCTGCAGTCTGTCTCTTCCTTAAGTTCATACCACGATTAAAAACCAGCCTTACACTTCCCAAGAGGAGGAATTCATTGTTTTCTATTTGTAATTCCAGTGGTTTGTTTGTTGTTAAGCAATAAAATACCATTATAACATGATCCCAGCAGATACAATTATTGTTATCTATAATTAAGAGAGAAGTAGTGGTGAGTGAAAATGAGCACTTCATGAACAATTCACTCCAACATTTCCTGCCCATCACTGCAGCTACTAGAACTCAACTTTCTCATGACTTCTTGGCAGGAACCATAATGACAGGCAAGTATCTAAAGATTTCCTTGATTTCAGGACCCATGAGGAAGCCCCAGATTCCTACAGGCCAAAAACAACAGAAAGAACGCTAAAAACATTTGCTCACTCAACTGATCATCTGCTTGTCTCCAGCTCTGTAAGTGAAAATGAAAATTGACATGTGGCTAAAGCTATGAAATAAAACAATTGCACCATGAACACTTTCAGGATTTCAAAGTTCAGCTTCAGACTCCCAGATTTTAGGGATACCTAAGAAAATGGATAAGAACAGGAAAGACTGGGAATAAAATTAAAAGGACAGAGTGGTAGGTACAGTAAAGGCTGTTTTAATACCCAGGGTATTCTCTCTGTTAGATGTAATTTAGAAGGCACTAATAGAATCCTTCTGATTTGTGCCTGCATTTTTGAACTAATTATGAGGGAGAGGAGGAATTAACTAGTAATTTGGTAGAAGTGTGGCAGGTGGTACTTATTCACCAGCTGAATACTTTTTCCTGTTAGGGAGAAAGCTTCTTTTCCTGTCTTTCATCCAAAGAATGGCCAGGGAAAGGCAGTCAACACTCCAGCTAAATATTTCCCAGTACCAAAGAAAGGACTGGGAAATGGCACACTGGGACAACTGCTACCCTGCTATTATTTAATATTAATATATTTGACCCTAACTATTGAAGTAGCTGAAGGCAACTTATGTTACACTGAAGAATAAAATATATCTGAAAATCTGGCATGTTCTAGCAATGATCAGTATTTTAGAAATTCTTGCATAAAACAGAGTTGGATGGATACAACATCTCATTATGAAGGCACCCTGCTAATGAAACAAATGTTTCTTAAAAAAAATCATAAACCCATAATCTTTTACTCAACAATAAGACACCCACATGCATTATTAGGAAGTTATAAAATTATGATGTCCTGTTGTCTCTGAAATTTACACAAACCAGTAAATCCTTTAATACATCTCTTACAGATGATTAAAAAGAGGCTGAGGGTTTCTCCAAAATAAAATTACACAGCACTTTATCTGTTGCAAGAAGTCTTGATATAATCCCTCAATAGCAACTAAGAAAATGAAAACACTTTGTATAAAACATTAACTTACTCATTCTAAGCTGTTAAGACTTTTAAACCCATTCCCCCTTCCACCTCCCCAGTTATTCCCAGGCCAAGATATTTTCTTGACTGTAATGCTTCAATTCTCAGCTGTCATCCTCACATTTTATTTTTATTGAGAAAAATATGAAAGCATTTCCATACCGCCTGGTTTTTTTAATGACACTTCCTGAAGTTGCTTCTCTCATCACCAACTTTACTTGGTTTCAAAATAGGAAAATATTACCTCTCCTGATGGCTTCTTCCCCTCTTTCAGTGCCAGCATTATTAATTATGAGCCTTGAAATTTCAGCAGTAGTCACATATGCCACAAGGCCACATAAACTATGATAAATCTGTGTCTCCAAAAGCATTTTCTTTGCCCTACCTCGCTGATGCACCTCAATACTGACAGTAACAAGGAGCTATTGTGGAACATGCATTTACTTCTAAAGTGAAAGAGGCACTTTTATTGAGGCAACATATATAAAAATTACTTTGACCGGTATTGTGCCCATAATTAAGATAATTTCAGTTAGCATTTGAGCTCTACGTTAACTGGCAGTTGTAAAAACATAAAAATTTGAAACTACCTATACTCAGAACATCAAAAAGACAAAGAAAGTCTTATAAAATTCAAAGTTTGAATATACATGGGGAGTGGGTATATAAATACACAGAGCAGCAGCTTTTATAGCAGAAATAGCTGCTTCAAAGTCAAAACATGATTCTGATTGCAGCATTACTCCAATACAACTCTGACTTACTATTTCAACAGATCAGATTGCAATGAGGCATATGTGTACCTGCCACAGCAGGATCAGCAAAAGTCCTCACTCTAAATAGTTACAGGAACAAAACTACATGATTACTATGGGTTCATTTTGATCCTGCATAATCCTACACCTGCAAAGAAGCACTAGAACCTTCCAACGTCTTCACCAAAATTCAAAGAAATGTTGTGCTACTTTGTGCTCCTGTGCCCATCTATTTGCATAAGCCAGCCCAGGCAGAGGACATGACTCACTGGATTCTCTGAAGAAGCCTTTGGCTGTTCAGAGTTGGTTTTTTGATGGCTCTTTGATGGACACACTTTTACGACTGATGAGCTCTTGTATTGTTATGGAATACCGACAAATTTCCATCCAGTAACTTTTCCTAGAAAAAGAGAAAGAAAAATACATCAGCTAGTATCTAAAGAACTCTACATTAAGTGCTCTTACTCTGAGCTGTTTGGGGTTTTTTATAGGCTATATGGTCACATGGCACAGTTCTCAGTGAGGAGAGCACTGCAAAATTCTGTGTTTAGCAGTTTGCAAAGCACCACAACGTGGTATAACCCAACTACAGCACATAAGTAACAACCATTTCAATTTCACAACCATTTACATGATGTGTATCAAGTAAAACATCCTGGCTTTCCATTGTTGCTGCTAGTAACTCACACCATGAATAAGAAGTTGTATGGCAGAGACCGAGCTCTCTCAGTCCCCAGCCACACCTCACCACAATGTTTTCCACAGCAGTTTATACCCATTCTCTCCTTGGCTACTGAAATGCCCCTGCATATCCTTTGGTGAGGAAGTAATTTGGGGTGGCTGAAAGGACTGCTTGTATTCATCACCAAAAACTAAAGCTTCTTACTAATTCCTATCCTGCACATGCATTTCTAACCTTTGAAATCTCATCTGCTTGTCTTGCTGGTATTTCTCTCAAACTGTTACACTCAGCACTTTTTCTGCCACACTTACATAGGTCAGTCTTTTACACCATTAACAGCTTTATCTAGAAAAATTTTTAATATAATAAATGCTTATAATCTCTGGTTCCAGTTCCCCTGGTTCTGCACACTTGTACAGAGCATTTTAGAAGCGAAATATTCCTGTGATATGTCTTGATACAAGACCACCACCAATACTAGCAGGAAGGAGCAGCAGAAACATCAGAACTGGCCATGTCTCCATTCCCATCGCCTTGTGGGGAGGCAGGTAGAGAACTCAGAAGTGAAGCTGAGCCTGGGAACAAGGGTGGGGTGAATGAAAGGTATTTTAAGACTTCATTTTATTTCTCATTTCTACTCTGATTTAAGGGAATTGCCCCAAGCTGAGTCTGTTTTGCACAGGATGGTAGCAGGAGCCTTTTGCTGCATTTTCTTACCCTGTCCAGCTGAGGCAGTGACAGAGGAGCTCTGCCACTAGATGACACTTTCCTAGCTGAAGGAAAGGTAAATGTATTGCTGCAGTTCAGGTCACATACTATAGGAAGCTTTCCAGAAGTGAAAACATTATTTATGTAATCCTTCCCTTCAATTCCGATTCAAGAAAAAAAAGGAAAGTCTGTTTAAGGCCAACGACTAGATGATGAAAAACATCCTTCCACAGAAGTCATTAAATAGAGATTGACATCAGAAAAATTCAGAAGTAACTGTTTTATTTGGCCAGAAAATAATTTTCAGTTGGTTTAAAATAAAAGACTATTAAGCTTACTGATAACATACTGCAAACAAGGAGCAAGAAATATACCCCAGTTATCAAAATAATTACCAATATAGCCTTCAATATGGAGCCTTGACAGTGATTTACCAAATCTTCCAATCAAAGTGAAGTTCTGAATTGATATTTAACACTGGAAACAAACTCCATTTTAGCATATGTCTTATCTGTATCTGTTCATTTTCTAGACATAGTTTTCTCCCAGAGTGTTTTTTGGTGCCAGTCTGA